GTTTGAATTAATCTTTTAGAATATCCTAATTACTTATTTGTAATATCTAAAATGTGCATTTGGAATATTATCCAAAACATACATTTGAAATATTATCTGAAATACGCATTTGGGATATTTGAAATGTGCATTTGAAACATTGTCTAAAATATGTATTTGGGATATTCAAAATGTGCATTTGGAATATTATCTGAAATATGCATTTGGAATATCTGAAATGTATATTTGAGATATTCCAAAATGTTTATTTAGGATATTATCTGAAATGTACATTTAGAATATTTGAAATGTGTATTTGGGATAAATGTATATTTGAAAACAGTAAATATCCTTACATTTAGGATATCCTAAATACACATTTTAAATATTAATGTATTTAGGATACAACAGTTTTATTTTAAAGATGCTTTATAAGATTTAAATCTAGAGATTATGTAAGTTAGACAAGTACAATCACTTTATTATCAGAAAGTCAATCTTTAATAAGATTTACCATATATTTGAGATCATTATCATATTAAAAAATTATATCATCAACACTTAATTCTCAATCTGAAATAGATTTCATAAGATCTTTTTTAAGTATTTATCGATAAAGTTCTCTATTTAAGCTGATATTAATTATATAAAGATTGCCAACATCTTTTGCTGAAAAGCATCCTAAAATCATTATATTATCTCTACTAAATTTTACTGTTAATTTAACATAAAGGCTTCTTAATATTCTCCTGGTTTCTTCCAAAAGTACTAGTGTTCATCTAAATCAAAAAATATGAATTTACTTTTGTCAGATCAGATTACTTTCTTCTAATTTTTTACAGACTAATTTTAATATTTTTTTATGAAATCTAAGTGATATTTATAATGTGTTTTTTTAAGGTAAAGTTTCTTCTTCTTAATTTTTGATGTCAAACCATTTCTTCAAAGTTTTCTGCATATAGTTTCAGCTAAAATTTGGATATTATCATAGTTTTTGAGATTACCTTATATAGCAACTGCTGTAGAACATTCATTAGAAGCAAAAAGTTAGAGAATTTTACATTCAGTATGAATGGAAATGACTCAGAGATGATCTGATTTTTTTATTTCAAAACTACCTATCTCTTCTTTACATTAATAAATTCTTGTAACTGTAGACTTATAGACACCTTCTTTAGCTGCAATGATATTGGCTTAATAGCCTTTTTCAAAAAGAGTAAAAATTCTTGTCCATTTTTTTAAGGATAGTTGTAGCATATTGAAAATTTTTTTTATAGCAAACAAAAGGGCTGAAAATTTATTTCTTTATAATTATATAAATATTATGTAACTTATTGCTTTTTTAATTTTAATTTAGATAAAAATGAATTGACTTAAAGTCATATAAATAATGTAACACTGTTAACGTTACTCTTTCTGTCGAATAAGTTAACTATAATTTGAAGTCAGAGAGATAATAGCTATGACTTAAATCCAATCAACTTGATACGCTGTTTATTAGAGAGTTTATTTAGTTAATAAGAATAAATTATAAGTTTTATATTTGCAAAATGTTAAAAGTATTTATTATTATTATTAAATGTATATTAAATACAATGTTAAGAACTTGTTGGAATCTGTCCTTTTTCTAAGGCATTTTCATGCCCTTTACATAGGAAAATTACAATTAAAGAAAATCTATGGTAAATATGATACTACTAACAATAATAATAGAGCTAACAGATATGCTAATTATATTAAATATGTTATAAATGATAATAATGATATAAATAATAGAAATATAATAAATAGTATGTGTATCCAATTTGGCAAATATGGCAGATTTAGCATATTTGACATATATGTCATATTTGACAGGTTCATCAATTTTTGTCAGTTTTAACACCTAAAATAGTAATATTATAGTCTAGCTGCAGATCATATGATTAAATAGGAATTTTAATTATAAATTTATATGAATTTTTATTCAGAAAACTTAATAAAATTAATTTTATTTGAATATAATTTATGAATAAAAAAGTTACATTAATTTAAAGTTTTATACTTAGCGATTGTATTACTTTTGTGAGCCACTATATATTCTAAATGCATATTTTAAACATTAACATATTAGAGCTATATCTAGCATTTTATCTATTGAAATGTTAAAATAAGGTGATTTAACTAAACATTAATATTCTAACAAAAAAAAGTTTATTAAAGGGATCTTTTTTATTTTTTTGATTAAATTATTAAAACTAATTTCAATAAATCTAAACAATAAAAAATTCGCTAAAATTATTTTTCACATATTATACAAATACAAAACAATTAAGAATTAAAAGGAAAGAACTGGCAGTTTACAAGAGGTTGAGTCTTCAATACTAAATATGAGTTTTAATATTTGCAAATGCATCTCCAGCTGTTAATATGTGTAAAAAAAAATGAGAAGAATAACAAAAACCAATAATAAGGAACCTCCTATAAAATTATCTATTCATAAAGCAAATAATCCAAAGCAAGTTAAAAAAGAATCTACTAAAGAAGATAAGATAAAACCAAAAGCAAACTGATACGAAAAAGATAAAATTTTTTTACCTATTGATATTGTGGGCTATAATCAAAAACTAATTTGTTCTACTCATTCACTTCTTAAAAAGAAAAGAATAATGGAAGAATGATTAATCTCACTAAACCATATAGAAGAATAAAAGAATAGTTAGTGGGTTTTAAATTATGATAATGCTTCTCTTAAATAAGCCAATTCCCTAATCCATTTTGAACAAATTTATCTGGAAAATTTTCTTATCTCCAAATATCCTTTCAATTTTTAATAATTTAAAATTATTGAAAGTGATGTGGATTATCAGCTTGTAAGAAATTTAATCATCATCATTTTCTAAACTTATAGCCTTATGATAGATATGATAGATACAATTCAAAGGAGCCTTTTTCGAAAATTGGAGGGGCCGTATTATATTTCTTTTTAGATTGTACTTATAATAATAATTAATTAGTATATTTGAAACAATACGAGGAGGGTGTGTTAAAGCGTTATGATGATGGATGTTTTTTTCGTGATATTTAATCTTTAATAGGACAAATTTAGAATTGAGTTTTCCTCTTTATTATGAAATTGTGATAGTAAATACGATGGGGTTTTTTTTATTAAAAAAAATCATTACATTAGAGTCAATAAAACAAACGTTCGATTATTTAAATAAATTTCAGATTCAATGTTTATCATATAATTGATTTTACAAGCAATAAAAAAAATTCTGAACCGAGAAATCGACTTTCATTAGAACGGATTGTACTTTGTATTAATCAAAAAAAAAAAAATTAGTTCTTCAAGGATGCGATTTATATCAACTAGGAGAGGTAAGAGTTTTGAGAAAATATCCTTCAAAAATATGGTTATGAGATAGTAAATCATATGATCTTAATGTGATATGCCTCCCATATAGCAAATGGATCATTAGAATTTCCACAAAAAAAAATTTCAAAAAATTACGGCAAAATCCTTAAGGTCGCCCTTCAATCTATTTAGTTAAAGAAAACAATAATATTAAAGAACCTAAAAAAAAAGAATTAATTAAAAGTATAAACGTAACGTAAAATAAGAATAATCATATCAAATAGGAAAATAAAATCAACATCACTTAAATACGTTGTATTCCATTTTTAATAAATAAATTTTAGAATATCACTGCGGCCTGAAGCGACCGAATTCGAAACTTTAAAATAACCCCCACTGACTCACCTGTCTTTGCATAAACGAATCCAATCTTAGGGAAGAAAAGGGACCAATAAGAATTAGGTTAGAATATTAAAATTTCAAATTATTTTCGTTATATAAGTAAAACTTCATTCGTGGTTGGCGCAAAAAAGTAACCTTCTACATGTAAGGTTAAGCATTCTTTTCTATGCTAATCATGATAGACGTTAATTAGAGTTGGAACCGGGATATCACGTATTTGCAGCGATTGTTGATCATTTCGTTAAAAATTTCTTAACAATTTATTTAATAAGTACAGTCGACCCAAAATATTACGGAGTAATATATATATTTTTTTTTATCCGGGAACACAAGCCGATTCCATAGATCTCAAAAAAAAAAAATCGAAAAAAAAAGGCTGCTTGAATACACCTTTGTAAATGTTTAGGCTAGTTATATCGTAATATAGAAGGTGTACTATGCCGATTGACAATTGAACTCGTAAAAAAAGTTGACGCTTCCAATGATGAATATTGTCGGACTCTTCTTTGGAGCTCGCTAATTTAACTTTGATAAAAATATCAGAGTCATTGTCTCTTAAGTAAGAGGCTTTTGTTTATTTCACTACTGATCACTCTTGCACATTGATTTTTATAAAATTAGTGCCTTCCCGAAGTTTTACGCGTTTATAACAATTCTTCTGTTGTGTTTAATATTTAATTGTTGCAAAAAGAGCCCTTGATAAAAATTTCTCTAAAGTATCGAATCCGATAGTTCGAAAATTTAAGAGAAATCATTATCGGCAAAATTGAGAACTTTACACGGATTAGATACTCCGGAAACTGTATTTATGATAGTGTGATTATTTCTGATTAAGATGGCAAGTCACCTATCGGGATTTATTCAAAATTTCGGGTTGATGTGTGATCCTTTCTTGCCCGAGTTAAATTTTAACCAGTTAATGATATTTAGGTATATCCATTTATTATCTATCGGTTAACTGGCCTCAAGGAAAAATACGTTTTAATTTTTATTTTCTTGTTTAATATACTAAATTTCAAATGTTTATTGTGATTCTCGATACATATATTTAGGTTGAACGAGTTGAGAAAGTTGTATATCTCGAAGCTAATGCAGATTGTTCTGAAGCAAGAATCAGCAAAACATGTAGACAATAGAAGACTTTTGATTAAATTTATCTTTGAAATCTTTCATTAGATCCCGAGGAGACTATATATTTGCGCAAGATTACGCATGTAGGACAAGTACAAGTTTACGTATTACTGTGTCAAATGCGCGATTTCAGAAATCAGGTGATTAGACCATGGCACTAACAAGACACGTACGGTCGGTTATTGAACAGAAAATGTCCGAGATGCTTCGATTAAAACAGCAACGTGGTGAAGATCTTCTAGAACCTATCGAAGATTTAACTAACATATCTTAAAACTTGTGCTTGATTTAAGCAGAGCAGATCATTGCAGAGCAATGGAACTTACGGTGCCTGATAATCAACTCGGAAATTATTTTTTCCGTTTCTTCCGTGATGATAAAAGTGAGAGGCAATTAACTCAAAAGACTTCCATCAGATTATTGATAGTAACTTCACGGGTTATCAGAGATTACTACACAGTTCACGGTAAGCAATGCATTGCTATAGTAACTGTGGAGTTATCGGCGATTACCCGTGAAGTTACGATATAATTACTCGGCCCACTGATTATTATAAAATAATATTTTAAAAATTATTCTTTTTCTTTCTCGTTTTATATCATTTAATCTCAATACAACTACATTTTTTTTATTATGTCAAAATCCAAATAAAAACCTTTTAAAACCTTTTTTTATAATAAAAAATTATTTTATTATTTAGTCAATTGTATTTCAATTGATAAATCAAATAAGAATTGGGTTATACAGTGATATCGGTAAATTTAAATGGAAAATTGAAAATGAATTGATCTTCAATGCAATGCATATAATCAAGGTTCTTTGTTTATTTATTTTATCGTTACATATTTACTAACATTCATATATTTAGAATTGCAAAACTTTTCTGCACAAAAGAATTTAATTGAGAGTCAATTAATGACAACTGATCTCTCACTTCCAACGTATTTTTAAAGAAAATATATTTAATAATTGTTCTTTTATATTTA